CGTTGAAGGCCTGAAATGTAAAAATATGGATGTAATATAATGATAATAAGGTGTAGGGACGTCCTGATTCCGATCCTGATCCCGGCCTATCAGAGCATGTGTTAAAGTCTAAAGTTATTTATCTACTTACTTAGTTGTCAGACTGATGTTGAACAGGGATTTACTCTGATAACAACTTAATGGTTAGGACACAGACCTGTGGGTTACAGATGCTAATGCTAATGTGGGATCGGACTTTTAAAATCTGCATTTTCTCCTGCCATCGGATACTAAATTTTTTATAAATATCGGCGCCCGATCCGATCTAGATATCGGACCAGGACCAGCCTGGCTTGAGCCCACATCGGGTTAGCTACTTTTGGTCAGCTGGATAATACCAAATTCCCACGAATTTCGAACCCTGCTGAACAACTTTTAAGGGGGGGAAAAAAAAGCATCACAGCCATTTTTGGAATGCGTTGAAGGCCTGAAATGTAAAAATATGGATGTAATATAATGATAATAAGGTGTAGGGACGTCCTGATTCCGATCCTGATCCCGGCCTATCAGAGCATGTGTTAAAGTCTAAAGTTATTTATCTACTTACTTGGTTGTCAGACTCATGTTGAACAGGGATTTACTCTGATAACAACTTAATGGTTAGGACGCAGACCTGTGGGTTACAGATGCTAATGCTAATGTGGCTTTTGTGCTATTTTTTGATCAGGTTGTCCCCCTTTCTGATCTTTTGCTTAACATATTAGTGATTCATTAAATCTAATTCTTTTTAGTCCATTTCTGATGATTTTCTGGTCTTTTTCTGTACTTGTTTGCAGTTTTGTCTCTTTTGTGCAGCCTCAGCATGTCTGGTTGTGTCCCCAGATTTTTTCCTTTCCGATACCGATCCGATCCCGGCCTATCAGAGCATGTGTTAAAGTCTAAAGTTATTTATCTACTTACTTAGTTGTCAGACTCATGTTGAACAGGGATTTACTCTGATAACAACTTAATGGTTAGGACGCAGACCTGTGGGTTACAGATGCTAATGCTAATGCTTGTGTGGAGTTAGGAGATGCTAATGCTAACACTAATGCTCGTGTGAAGTTAGGAGATGCTAATGCTAATGCTCGTGTGGAGTTAGGAGATGCTAATGCTAACACTAATGCTTGTGTGGAGTTAGGAGATGCTAATGCTAACACTAATGCTCGTGTGGAGTTATGAGATGCTAATGCTAACACTAATGCTCGTGTGGAGTTAGGAGATGCTAATGCTCGTGTGCCCGTGGGTCAGGAGATGCTAATGCTAATGCTACTGCTAATGCTAATGTGGGGGGAGTCTCCTGGTGCTGACCCGCCTCTCGCCCCTCCGCCCAGGCTGCAGTGGGTCACAGATGCTAATGCTAATACTAATGTTCTGATAACAACTTAATGGTTAG